ACAAGTGATGGCTACTATGGATTAGTAGATGAAATTAATTTGCAAAATGTCTAAAATGCAATACAATGTCTGTATTTTATTAATTTGTCAAAAATTGATACAATTATTTGTTTTTTAGACTCAATTTGAATGATATAATTATTAAACATAAGAATAATGACACAAAAAATGGACACAAGTCTCAAATATAAAGCTTTATGTTTTATGCAATCGTTTCCTTGAAAAATATCCAAAAGTGATGTCCGACTCATTGGTTAGAGGGGTGTCGTGGCGATCGCAGAATCGGTGAATAAGTTGTGGTAATGAATGACTGGAACATAGGCTGCAGTCACTAATCGACCTGTTTTTGTAACAAATATTAGATTAAAAACATTTATAAATTACCGTAAATTGTAATTAAACAGCAAAACTAGACATACCTGCGAACCATCGGCCGTGAAGAGCGGTTACCGAAGCGGTTGCCGCAGAAATTGTGGGACACTTGACATAAACATCTCCTTTGGAGGCCTTATCAACGAACACATGAAGAGCGCCGCCGTGTTTACGGCACTCTTCGATGACATCATTCCTGATCTCTTCAAACCAGAGAGGGTTAGCTCTGGTGTCTTCGTTGTCGGGATCAAACATGTTGTTCAACATAAAACATTGCGTTGCGATCGCCTGAGCGCTTCCGTTACTCGAGTTTGTGGTGGAAGTGGGCGCTGCCGTCACAGCCGCCTGACTACTGATCTGAAGGGCATTGACTGCCGCCTGAGGTAATTGAATACCCGTGCCCTCAGCTAATTTGGCCATTAGTTGGAGCCTTCCGGTGGTTCCCAAGTCGATGCCCGTCCTGTCCATCTCATCCGAGTCAAGAATGGACGGCCCGGCCATCATCTCCTGGCGCTCCGTCACGTGATTCACTTTCATGGGACGACCGGCCAGTTCGAAGCCATTTAACTGTTCCAACGCCTTCTTGGCGTCGTCCGCGTCGTGAAAAGCGATAAAACCGTAACCTTTCGATCGATTGGTTTCCATATCTCTCATGAGTTCTATTTTGTCGATCCGTCCGAACGGCTCGAAGATGCCTCTCAGCATGTCTTCAGTGATGTTGAAGTGCAGGGAACCCACGTATAGCCTCATCGGTCCGGCGAAACCCCTCTGAATACTGGTGGCTGTGGTGGCCATTCGGTTCTTCTCAGCCTGAGTGGGCTGTATAATGATGGGAACGCCGCACAACTTCTGGCCCGAGAGGGCCAACGCTAACGGAACCGATGAGATGTCATAGAACTCGATATAAGAGATGCCTTTATGTCTTCGAGTCTTGTTATCCATAATAAGCCGAACTTCTCTCACTTTGCCGACAGCTGTGAAGAACTCCTCTAAATCTCTGACTCTAACTCTTGCGGCCAATTGCATGCAGAAGACAGTCCTCTGATCCCTTTCCTCGGGTGGCAACTCATCGTAACGCATAGGACTCCTGGATCGCGATCGATAGCGACCGCGTCCACCTCCTCCAAAACGCTCCCAATTTGGTGATCGACTTCTTCGCCTCCGGTCTCTACTTTTAGATGTGCTTCTTCTGGAGCGGCGCTCTCTTTCTTTGCTCTTACTTTTGGATTTACGATCGCGACTACGACTCCCTGGATGACGGTCTCTATCCTTTCGACTCTCCCTTTCCTTTTCTTTTTCCTTATCCTTATCCTTATCCTTATCTCTATCCCGGTCTCTGTCTCTCTCCTTATCTTTAGTCCTATCCCTGTCTCGGCTTTTACTTCTTTTCCTGTCCTTTTCGCGAGTCTTCTCTTTCCGATCCCTATCTCGACTTCGACTCCGTTTTCTTTTTCTAAAAAAGAAGAAATCTTTTAAAACACTTCCAAAGATCTAAAGATTGTGAACAATACCTGTCTTTGTCTTTCTCCTTGTCTTCCTTTCTCTCTTTGTCATTGCCATTGACTGCCACCGCATTGCTTGACTCCTAATGACATCAATTTGAAACCAAACGATTGTGTGATTTTAGGGATTGATTAATGCGTTTTGTGGAGGAATTTGGGGAAAAAGTAAAAAACATACGTTTAGTATAAGTCTTTGATTGCAGTTAAAGCAGAGATCGTGTGATAATTTGTTGCATAAAACATATTATTCATAGAATTACCACAATTATAACACTTGAGGCATGAATTCAATTCAATTGCAATGTTTATCGAAAGTCTAGAAAAAAATCAGAGAATTTCCTGACATTTGCCTTAAATATCAACGCAAACAACAACTTGTCGTTTGAATCAGTGATTGAATTCAGTTTTCATTGCAAATCAATACAATCTACTGAAGTGTTATGAACTGAAGTGCTATCAACTGAATGAAAATCAATTCAAACACTGAATCAAATGCAAAACAACAGCCATTCGACCGATCAATCAATCCTAAGAGCAAACACTTTCACACAATTGTCAAAAGCGACTATAAAACAGTCAAAAACACAATCACTCGACTGGGACTCGAAACGACTCATACAAACAGTCATTCTTTCGGTCAGACATTCAATGAGTGAAGTGACAGTTGTTTGTCATGTGGTCTCTGTCCGGGATTTGTGCCTCTTTTGCCATTAAGCCATATAAGCCCCTGAGGTATGATAAGGAATACAACGCTTTAGCATTGATTTCAATATTCAGTATATTTTAACAGTTTTTATATTTTTTTAAACACTTTTTACTTGTATTTACAATTAGTTTCTTGTAATAAACACTCGTTTTTCAAACCAATTCATTCAAGAGTTTGTTTTTAAAAAAGCTTTTAACAGTAAAAATATCATAAGTTATAAGTTATATGTTATAAATTTAATAACAAAATAGATTTAATTGAAAAATTTAAATAAATTCATCAAAGTTTTCATTTACTGTCAAAAATATTCAATCAATGTATGAATGAATCCTTTCATAAGTGATGAAAACGAGTGTTTGAAAGACAATTGCGTCCATCGGCTCACGAATTGCATCAAACAATTCAATACACTTCTTGTGGCACTTATTGTCAATTTGGGTGATAATCGACAACCAATTTGTTAATTAACATTGACTTCAGACCATAAAACACATACAAACCGTGGATTCAATTCATGTCATATTGACGTATCATTAAGTGATAGCATATTATATATGATATAACATTGGATTCAAAAGTCAATTAAACAGATAATTGTAATGAAATAGTGATTACTGTTAACAGTATTTGTGACAAAGAGCTGATCCCGTAATCACTGAAATGCATTCAATACAGACCTTATGATTGTATGGTTTGATGGCCTCCTCCAGCATCGCCTCCACGTCCAGGTCTTCAGCCATTGTCCCAGCGTTTGCCACAACCAGATGTGGATCTAATTTGGGGTAAAATGTGTTAAATGGTGGTCACTGTAACCACTTAACCAAGGTCCAATCCACTCAATCAATTGAAAACATTTGTTTTTACAGTAAATCAAAACGTTTTGCACAAACAAAAGCCACACTTTTAAATGGCGTCCAAACTATACATACATTACGTTTGCTTTCATTTCATTTGGTTTTCATTATATTTATCATTAATTTACTGTAAATTCAGTATAAATTTATATAATTTACTCGCTATTAGTTTGTGAATACAAATAGAGTTCATTGAATCCATTAATTATAACAAATCGATGAGAAAGTTATCAATCAATGGTTTGGTGTCCAAAGGGTTACGTTATTATTGGCACTCATTTCACAGAAAATGTGTGCATTTGTTGTGAAGTTTGGGATCAATTGACAGACTATTTGGAGAAACGAAGACACATTTGGAGACAAACCGAGACAATGACAGACATATTGGTGGACGCGTTGCCGTACATAGATATGGGTTTCGAGGAGCCGGGCGTTCGTGAGGCGGTGCTGGAGATGGTGTCGGAAGAGACGCGAAGATATAAGCCGACGAAGAACTATTTGGACCACTTGTCGGACCTGAATCTGCGGGCCTTCGAGACGGATCTGATGCGCACAGAAGTGGACAGACTTCACAACCGGCAACCGATGGACATGTTGTCGATGAAGAGGTACGAACTGCCGGGTCCTGCGGCCGGCAAACTCTCGGACCTGTCCGCGTGGACTGAGTCTGTGGCCAACTCTATGGCACAACTGCAACACCAGTCGATCAGAATCGACAACTTGGAGCTCATGCAGAGGTTGGGCGCCGAGGGGTGGAAGCAATACAACCACGCGTTGAGCCAAATGCAGGCCAACGCACAGAAAGAGTTACTCGAACTCAGGAAACAAATACAAGAAGTGAATTGGTTTCGGAAGAGCTCGCAGACGGCCGCCGGCGACCAGATCAAGCACTTGGAGTCCGAGTGGGTGTCACTCGTCACCAAGAACTACGAGATCGAGCGCCAGTGTCTGCAACTGGAGGTCGAGATATCGGAGTTGGACCGCAAACTACAGGACAAACACAGCGAACCCGCGCCTCAAGAAGATAGTGAACAAAGTGGTGCCAAAGAGGACTGATAT